GGCGTACAATATGGCAACAAAGATGAAGATGATAGTCCGAACAATGTAAATTGTGGAAACAAGAAGGACAATTATACATAACATCGGAAGGAGACAGTTTATATTTCTAGGTTAGGTATTGAAAAAAGGGGCCTTGGAAAATTTTAAAATCACAGGAAATATTGAACACAAGAGAGCCAGCAGGGCAGAGCAAAAGCTACCTAAAGAGCGTGTGTAAACTGCTAGCAGAACAGGGATGGGAATAGCTAGCAAAATAACAAATTTTAGTAAAAGTTACAGACAGGATGTTGCAGAGAGCCATGATCGCTCATATCATGAAGGGAAATGGCACATAGAAGAAAAGGAGAATTGACATTAATGAGTCAGATCCCGGGGAACAGTTACATGATGCTATTTATTAAAACACTAGAAAGACCCGTGAAAATTTCACGGTTTTTATATTTCAATTTTCTGACGAATCTTAAGATTTAATTTAATGGCAGAATAAGCTCATGGCGAGTTGTACGACAATAAACTATTTGGAGAATTTCCCCTGTCGCATTGTTAAATATCTGATCTTAAGAACTTTAACAAAATATTCTAGTAACAATTATAAATAGAAAGGCTATATCTATTTTAAGAAGTAAGCGGGTACATATTAAAAGAATTTAAAATGACAATCGTTTCCATTTTCACTGAAACATTATGAAGTATTATCACCTCATCTTTCTTGACAATTCGTTTTTCTTTCATTTATTTTTCACTGAAACATTATGTGATCAAAAGAATATTAATCATGGCCAGGATAAGTTAAACACTTCTTTCTTTCTTTCTTTCTTTTTCTTTCTTTTCTTTCTTTCTTTTTCATTTATTCATTCATTTTCTCACTGAAAATCAGTAGAGTCCTTTATGTCTTCCCAGTCTTCAATGTGATCAAAATAGAATAGTCGATAATCTATGAGATATGGCCAGGATAAGTTAAACACTTCTTTCTTTCTTTCTTTCTTTCTTTCTTTCTTTCTTTCTTTCTTTCTTTCTTTCTTTCTTTCTTTCTTTCTTTCTTTCTTTCTTTCATTTATTCATTCATTTTCTCACTGAAAATCAGTAGAGTCCTTTATGTCTTCCCAGTCTTCAATGTGATCAAAATAGAATAGTCGATAATCTATGAGATATGGCCAGGATAAGTTAAACACTTCTTTCTTTCTTGCTTTCTTTCTTTCTTTCTTTCTTTCTTTCTTTCTTTCTTTCTTTCTTTCTTTCTTTCTTTCTTTCATTTTCTCACTGAAAATCGGTAGCGTCGTTGCTGCCTTCCATTCTTCCATGTGATCACAATGGAATAGTCGATTACCTATTAGGTATGGTCAGGATACGTTAGACACTTCTTTCTTTCATTTTCTCATTGAAAATCGGTAGCGTCGTTTCCGTCTTCCCAGTCTTCCATGTGAGAGAAAAAAAAGTTAATTATCTATGAGATATGACCTGGATACGTTAAAAACTTCTTTCTTTCTTTCTTTCTTTCTTTCTTTCTTTTATTATCTCGCTGAAACCAAGTAGCTTCTTTTTAATACCCCAACGATCAAAATAGAATAATCGATAATGTATTAAACATTTATTTCTATCTTCTCTTCTTTCTATCGTCCATTTTCTCACTGAAACCAAGTAGTGTTTTCCCGTTTTTCCCTCTCTCCCCGCGATCAAAACTAAATAGTTGATTATTTATAAATATTTCTCGGAGACGTTAAACACTTCTACCTTCCCTTGTTTGATTGTTTCATTTTCTCACTGAAACCGAGTAGCGTCTCGGATATGTCTTTTCCGTCTTTCCACACGATTAAAACGGAATAGTCCATTATTTATGAGGAATTGGCATGAGGTAACGCTCATACTAAGAGATAGACAAGCAGAAGTCTAATATATTGCAGTTACACACCAAAACGCTAAAAATCAAGAAAAGCTGATGATAAAATATATCGTCAAGTATATAAATGATTGTCTCTTGATGGCATATGCGAACTTTTTTTCAAATATAACCTTTGGAATAAAGAATGTCCTTTGTCTCAATCTGAAGTAGCTCACGACGAGTATTTTATTTGCATTACAGCGTGCAATGAATAAAATTTCGTCATTTTATATGTATACTTTCGTGCATGCCCGTTCTTCGTTTTTATTTTGTCGACTGCACAGTATTGTAGGGTCAGTTGGGCAGCACCAGTAAGAAAAAGAGCACTATGATACAATTCACTCCACCATAAATCTGCAAACGGCATGCTGTACTGCTTGGCATTCCCACCGGAAGCTCCAATAATGTTTGGGTGTTAATCTGAGTAGTGGATTCGGAAAGAGTTGGTTGATATATCCAGTCAACATCATGGTATTTGGTGTGATTACTATTGCTGGCGACATTAAATCTCCATACCACAGAGCATCAGACTCAATACGGAGGCCTACATCAAGTGCCTTGAGAAGAGAGTACTGCTCTGGGTCAAGAGATTGGCTGCTGTAAGATACTACCTGGCAACAGGTCTTTGCCCCATGCCACACAAGCAGGAGAATCGGTCATGTCTGTCTGTTTCTGCGACTCTATATCTGGCCTTAACTCCTCGGAGTGAAAAGCTCTTGATTATTATATGTGGGGCGCAGTTGAGCGAGAGACCAACAAAAATCCTTGTAACACGAAAGAGGAATTGAAAAGAAGAATTATGGCAGGATTCACCAAGGAGAAGAGTTGCAGGAGATTCTGTCGTCGTCTCAAAGTCGCAATTGAAGCCTCGGGCGATTTTATTGAATAAATTTACTCTTTATTATTTCAAGATATTTCTGGGTAATCTTCTAAATATATCTGTTGAAATGAGATGTCGGTGTTATTTTTTTTTTTCATTTTTGCCTAATTTCGACGATTATTTATTCATCGGACCCTGTATGTGTTCCTGGGAATCTGTCTAATGTGGGCTGAGCCTTATCGATAAACTTTCGGTACGCAATCAAACAAATGTCATCCAAATTTAGTCCGTAGGATGAACACCTCCTAAATCTGTTTTATATATGCCTACATTTTTATTTAATTTACGTCCGAGTGCTGACGGACTATGGTGTCTGAGTAAACAATAACCAACTAGACAGAACAAAATTACGTAAGAAAATAAACAGTCTATTCTTAGAGCCTTTTATGATGAAATAAAATATGTGCATTTATCATAGGCTGTAAATTTAAATAATAATAATAATAATAATAGTAGTAGTAGTAGTAGTAATTTATAATAACAACAATTATAGATTAATACCCTAATGAAAATTAATTGAAAGAAAACGAATTCTGTTATTAATTTTTCGAAATTTTCCAATGAAACACGAACCAGTGCACATGTTAATACTTCGTATGTCTATTCCACGATGTCGTTCCTTGCAGATTGACCACAGATTCTCGATTGGATTTAAATCAGGAGTGTTTCCACTGAGTTTGATTTGCTCAGTGGTAAGGCTTGCCATTGTTTTCGTGCAAGGTTACAATTTTTGTACCCTTCCTAGGAGTAAAGTCCATCGTAGACAATTGCCGTACGATAAGTAATCGACAGTCGAGAAAATAGTGTTTAAGGAGTGTTAAAAATCACGGAGGACACAATATTTTTCCAGGCCGAATTTCATCATACACCCCTAAAATATATTCTTATTGCACACCGATTACACCCTGTCGCTCCAGTGGGTCTAAAACAGACCTTATGGTGAAAGAAAGGAAACTAAAGCAGTTGTTGCACAAAGGTGTATGTAGATTATTAATAATATACATATTTGCATATTTTTATTCTTACGTGTATTTGCGTGTTTTTTTTTTTGTTTTTTTTTCCTAAATTATTTTTTATGTGCTTTTGAATGAGCATAAAATAGCATTCTTGTTTCGTTTCTCTGGGTAGCTTTGCCTTAGTAGCATCGTTTCAGGAAAGCTATTAAAAAAACAGTAACACATTTTGAAAAATCACCAAGAGGGAAATATATATATATATAATATATAATAGATTTATAATTAAATAATAAAATTAATTAACAAAAGTATGAATGTATCATTGTTTTGATTGTTCTTTTTAATGGTTATTGGTATATTCATCATCCTTCTGTAGAACCACGTTTCCCTTACTTCAAGATTGTCCAGGACTCACTGTTATACAAGGGGACTGATATCACTTAAGTGTTCAGTATTCTGTTTACTAAGTATTTCTATTCTCGTCTTTGTCGCTATATTTATTACAACGTTATCAGGTGTTTGGAATGTCCAACTGAACCCTTTATTTCGCTCACTCGGGTAGACTGGTTTAGTTCCACGTGCCATGTTTAATGGATGTCAGTTATCAGTTATCTCCAAGTTCTCCACTGACTTAACAGGGTATTGAACTCACACTCTTTTAAGACCTGTCACTGGATCTAACCAACGTCTTTATCCACTGTGCCATGTGTCCTTGAGGACATCTGTGTACGAATTTCTGGATATTATAAACCTAATCTTTCAGCCTTAATTTTTTTATCAGTGTTCATATTGCAATTTTTGCTGTTATCATTGCATGCTTTTACCAGAGCTCATATTGCAATTTTTTTGTTATTATTGCTTTTCTCTTGCACTCCTTATTACTGGGTCCCATATTGTATTCATTTTTATGCTTGATCGGCTCAGGAGATTTTTGTAGCCTAGCATAAAGATGAGGGCAATAGTCCGAATAATGTAAATCGTGTATATTATACCTCATATCAGAAATATAGACAGTTCAGTATTCTGTTCCTTGTTTTTAGCGAACTTTACCTATTTCTTTGTACTAAGGTTTTGGAATGCATCTTTGGATATCGCAATACGTCTTCGGATTTCAGTGTCACACTTTCCCCTCCTTTGTTAAAACACTTCTCATATATTTAAATTCCTACACTTGCATGATTCTGGTATCTCCTATTTGCAATTCGTTCTTTGGTGGTCATCGATTATGCTAACTGCTTTGCATTTTGTTTTCTTGCAGTTGATGTTTAGATGTTTCTTCTCACTCCACTTTAACTACCATCCGTAGGAGATTTTGTAGTTTTCTCTCTCTGAATACCGAAATGGTATGTAGCGGTTTCAAGACCTTGGACGTCGTATTCTGGCAGTGAAAGACTCTCTTTGCGTAAACTTTTCATATAAAACCAAAACACATGTGAAGGCAGTCAGACGATGCAAGAATAGAAAATGTCAAAACATTTCGCGGTACGTTTGGTTAGACAATGACAACGATAATAATGATAGTGATGATGACAGCGGCGGTTACGTTTCTTACAGTTCAGACCAAATGAATGCAAGTTATTTCAAGTCCTTCTGTGTGTAGGTTGTCAGCTTGGATGTTTGGTACTTCATTGTACGGATTTCTACACTTTATAGATTCTTTGCATAAAGATTTTCCCATCTACACCAATAATTATAGCCTTAGTGTCATCGACACGTCCCAGCTTGTCAGCTCTCTAGATAATTATCCACCTTTCCACTTTTACTTACACGCCTTCAGGAACAATGGCAGCCATTATTTCATGATGAAAACGTCAATATTTCGTCATATAACAAGTGTGGTCGTTTTCTTTAAAATCGTTGCAATTTACTCTTCAAATATCAAAAGCAGACATCGGCCCTGGCTGAAGCACTTACCAACTAAACATTAATAACGCCTTCGCCTCTATAGTGAAATAATCCGTTATTTCTTTAACACTGTTAAATTTCACTGCTTTACGCGTGACCAGTAATTTGTTATGGATACATTGTTCAACGCACATGATTTGACCTTCTGAATACTATTGTACACATTTTGTGTCTTGCGGGCAACGAAAGATAGCAAGGATCTCCAACTAAAATGTCAGTGCTTAGTCCGAAGCAACAGTAGCCAGCAGGGATTGAAAATCGACATGTGGCTCGCGTCTCGTCAGGGAAATACAATGGACTTCAGTTCCAACGAATTGAAAAGAATCAGAAAGACTGGTTCAACTCTCGTCCACTATTCAAACTGTAAACTTTGCTGAAGTGGAAATCGATGGAGACATAGTGAAACTATTGTCTAAATATATTTGTACTGAAATTAGATCCTTGTGAGGCAGACAAG